GTGTGTGTGCTGCTGTGCTGCATGCTGCGTGTGTGTGCTGTGTGCTGCATGTGTGTGCTGTGTGCTGCTGTGCTGCGTGCTGCGTGTGTGTGCTGTGTGCTGCGTGTGTGTGCTGTGTGCTGCGTGTGTGTGCTGCCGTGCTGCGTGCTGCGTGTGTGTGCTGTGTGTGTGCTGTGTGCTGCGTGTGTGTGCTGCGTGTGTGTGCTGTGTGCTGCGTGTGTGTGCTGCTGTGCTGCGTGCTGTGTGAGTGTGTGTGCTGCTGTGCTGCGTGTGTGTGCTGTGTGCTGCGTGTGTGTGCTGCTGTGCTGCGTGTGTGTGCTGCTGTGCTGCGTGCTGCGTGTGCGTGCTGCTGTGCTGCGTGTGTGTGCTGTGTGCTGCGTGTGTGTGCTGCTGTGCTGCGTGCTGCGTGTGTGTGCTGCGTGCTGCGTGTGTGTGCTGTGTGCTGCTGTGCTGCTGTGCTGCTGTGCTGCGTGCTGAGTGCTGAGTGCTGAGTGCTGAGTGCTGCGTGCTGCGCTGACGAACCCTGTCGATCTGCCTGCACTCACCCAGATCAGCAATGACCTCCTCCACGCTCACACTGCCCCTCTCAAGCAGGTCCCTCACTCTGTGCAGCCGGGCGCAGAAGGGCAGCTCGGGCTCGTTCAGCCTGCGGGGAGAGGGTTTCATTACGCAGCGGCTCGAACCCCAGCGCACAGACAGCGCTCCCCCCCGGGCCCTCGTCGCTCACTCGCGGGCGTCTCTGCGGGAGCGCTCGTCCCCTTCCACTCCCTCCATCTCTGCGATGAGCGCGCTGAGGAAGGCGTGCGTGTGCGAGAGCGCCCCCCGCAGGGCCAGGTGCACAGCCAGCGCCTGCAGCACAGCGCCGTTGTAGCCCAGGGAGCAGGAGTGAGTCAGCATGGCGCCCAGCCGGGAGAACTGAGAGAGGACAGCAGGGGTTAGTACGCGCCGCCGCCGCCGCCCCCGCCCCCCCCCGGACTCACCCTCTTCACGGCCTCGGGGTCGGGAAAGACCAGGCCGAAGGGCGCCGCCCTCATCGCCCCCCCGTTGCCGAAGGAGCCCCGCCCCCCGAACTGCTGGCGTGCTGGCTGGAAGACATCGCCGAGCCGCGGGCTGGCCAGCCGCTTCAACACCGAGACCACGCCGGCACCGTACCCCCTGGCTGGAGCCTGTCGGTACTCCTCCGCAAATCTGAGAGAGAGGGGGTCACAC